CGGATAATAATAAATACTTCTTTGTGGGCATGATATACGTTATAGCAATTTAACTCAAAATAAACTCATTATATCAATATAGTATTTTACATACAAGCAAAGAAAAAAAGTTTCTTCTAACGTTTTACATATGAACAATGCTGGCTTTGTTATTTTATTGACAAGCCACTCATTTTTTGTGGTGATATGATAGGACCAAGACCGGACCTGAATTAACTTTATTTAAATAACTTCTAAATCAGTCACGAAGTTTTTTAGTAAATTAAAACTTTATATGTTCATAATTTTAACACATGACAATTTTATATAAGCTATTGGTGGAATAAACTGTATGTGAAATAAATTGTTGGTGAAATAAACATTCTATTGAACGAACTTGTTTGTTTACAAATAAACTTGTCTGTAAATTTGTTTTCTGTGAAATAAGGTGACTAATAAGTGTTCGTCGATAAAGTGACACAGACCCGGGTGTACTTGCAAAGATATTATATCATTTTGGTGTAAAAATACATGTGTACTGTACGTACGTACGTACAACATATCGATATATGTGATCAATTAAAGCCATACGTATTAGTTTTTTGGTGTTAATCTTAAATATATATCTTTATCTTGTGTTTTAACCATGAGCCTAATGGGTGCAGACCTTCGCGTGCTTGGATGGAAATACCAAAATGGCTTCGATGTTGAGAAAGACGAACGTAAGGCTTTTGAATACTATAAAAAATCAGCAGATATGAAATGTGCAGTTGCAATAAACGATGTCGGATATTGTTATGATGAAGGAATTGGAGTTGAAAAGGATGAATGTAAAGCATTTATTTATTATCAAAAAGCAGCAGATATGGGAGACGCTAATGGAGCTTATAATGTTGGTAACTGTTATTCTAAAGGATCAGGAGTTAAAAAAGACGAACATAAGGCTTTTGAATATTATAAAAAATCTGCAGACATAGGATATACAGCTGCAATAAATAATGTTGGACGTTGTTATGATGAAGGAATTGGAGTTAAGAAGGATAAACATAAGGCATTTATTTATTATAAAAAATCTGCAGAGATGGGAAACGCTATTGGAACTTGTAATGTTGGATATTGTTATAATGAAGGAATTGGAGTTAAAAAGGATAAACATAAAGCATTTATTTATTATCAAAAATCTGCAAAGATGGAGAATGCTAATGGAATATTTAATGTTGCACGATGTTATCAACATGGAATTGGAGTTGAAAAGAATGAGCATAAGGCATTCATTTATTATCAAAAATCTGCAGAGATGGGGAACGTTAGAGGAGCATATAATACTGGATATTGTTATGAAAATGGAATCGGAGTTGAAAAGGATGAACATAAGGCATTCATTTATTATCAAAAATCTGCAGAGATGGGATATATTTTTGGAATAAGTAGTGTCGCAACTTGCTATCAATTTGGAGAAGGAATTAAGAAAGATGAAAAAATGGCATTTTTTTATCATCAAAAAGCTGCTAAAATGGGGGATATTTGTTCGATTTGTAATCTTGGAGAATGTTATCAGGTTGGAATTGGAGTTAAAAAGGATTTACAAAAAGCTTTTGAATTGTATTTGCAATCTGCTGAACTTGGTCTGGTTGATGGAATAAAAAAAGTTGGGTATTGTTATCGAAATGGTATTGGAACAAAAAAGGACTTAAAAGAGGCTGAGCATTGGCTTCGAATGTAAGTTCTTTTAAAACAAAAAAATTCTATAAAATACTAGATATCTATATAACGATTTTAATTTATAGAGAGAAAAACAAGTTCCGAGGTACGCCATTTTTTGATTTTAGCTTATTTTACTAAATCTTTATTGATCTTAATAATAAATAGAAATAAAGAAATACCCTTATTCTGATATTGATGACGACGTAAAAAGACTATTGAATGACGAGAGATACCAATTAATGTGGATTCCGTATCACAAATTTGAAAATCTTAAAGAGATTGGGAAGGGAGGATATGCAACTGTTTATTATGCTAAATGTCTAATTGAGTACAAAAATAGTTATGATAAATATTCGTTTGCGATTAAAACAACTCATAATCAGGATTTCCTTGATGAGGTAAATTTATTGAGTTTTGTCAAATATTTGAATTTATGATTAATTGGTTTTTAAAAAAGTTGAAAGCGTATTGCGAGATCGGATATAAAAATCCATCGTTCTTAAGATGCTACGGATTATCAAGAGATAATTTGGGAAAATATGTTCTTGTTTTGGAATACGCAGAAAAGGGATCTTTGCGTAATAATCTTCAAAAAGTATCACAAATGAAATGGGAAGAAAAATTAAATTTATTAAGTTGCATAACTTCAGATCTTGAAGCAATTCATTCGCAAGGATTAGAACACCGAGATCTTCATAGTGGAAATGTTTTACAAAACGAGTTAGATAACGCGTATATTACAGATTTGGGACTTTCTAATATGAAAAAAGAAATATGTGGAGTTTTGCCTTATATAGCACCAGAAGTTTTATCACACCAAAAATTTACAAAAGCCTCAGATATTTACAGTCTCGGAATAATTATGACGGAAATATCAACAGGAGAAAAAGCTTTCAATAGCTACGAATTTAATAACGATCTAGCTATAAAAATTTGTTGTGGATTGAGACCGGAAATCGCTGTTGGGACACCTAAATGTTATGTTGAATTAGTTAAACAATGTACGGATTCAGACCCAAAAGAAAGACCTACCGCGAGATGGGTCAACGCCGTTGTTACAGTTTGGATCGAAGAACTTACGAGCGAATGCAGCAACCGCATAAATAAAAGGCAATTCTTGAAGGCTGATAACGTGAGACCATATCCTGAACCAGAAGCTGATAACGCGGAACGAAGCCCTGAACCAGTAAAACACTTTGATCACAAGTACACGAGTACGATCATTAACACGCAAGAAATATCATCAAAATTAATGAGTACTAGCAATCTGGTTATTATTAGCAATCCGATAAATAGTCTGAAAATTCCTGATGGTATGTAAAATTAATTAATAAATTTGTTTTTTAATTATATGAAAATAAACACTTAAAAAGTAAATTAACGTTTAATAAAAATTATGACCATACTTTAGAATTATGAATCTTAAAATTAATCCTCTGCAGAATTCAATACAATCATCATGCTATGATAGCCACGGATGCGTAATCGTAATCGTTTGATATTAAATACAAATGAGTGGACATTCACTTATTATTAAGATCCTGTTAGTCAGATGAAGAGTTATTATGGTAATGTTTAACGATTAATGTTTCGAAGGAAAAGTCTTAATCTGGACAGAAATATGAATGGAAGGTTGATAAAGATAAGGAATTGTAATAAATGAATAAATAACCAATGAAAGTTGTCCGATGAATGTGTTGGAGGAAATTCTGGTTGACGTGTATCATAGTATAAAAACCCATCGAATTCAACTTTCTTGTCTTCCGAGTGATCCCTCTTTTATAAATAAAGATTTTTAAGTGATTCGTATTTATTATTTCTATTGGTTATCTCATGTTGTATTAGCTTCTCGTATGTAAACCTTGACTTCTTGTTATCTAAAAACGTACAGTCGGCTCCAAAAGTTTATCACGGTTGCACAAAAATAATATGCAAATCAACGATAAAATATTAATGAATACAACTGACTCTTGATATAAAAAAATCATCGGGTCCAGCCAAAACTTTCTTATATCGAAACTTTCTTATATCAAAAACTTATAATTTTTCAAATAGAACTTGTAAATTCTTTGTTATGCCAAGAGCTACTTATATTGAGTATATCGAAGGTTTCTTATATCGAGGGTTTCTTGTATCTACATAAATATCATAAATTTGTGTTGTTTTTTGTGTAACCGTGATAAACTTTTGGAGCCGACTGTACTTGCTGAATGCTCGTACTTCCAATTTCGAATATATATATGCCTATCTTTTTTACTCATATTTTATTTTGTTAACTATTCTGAGGTAAACTTTGTACTCTTCCGATCTCATAGTTACATCGAATACAAAACCTTTTTTTTCAAAACTTTGTAATAGCTTTATAGAATCAATAAAAGAAACTCTTTATTATGAAGCAATATTCATTAAAGTTTGTCATTTTTTAGATTAGGTGTTTTCCATTTTTTACATTCTATTTTGTATATCCGACTTAATTTGAATTAGCTTAGAAAATAAACAAGTCTTGTATTATTACAAGTCTATGGTAATTGGCAACTATAGTTTTTTTAACCAGATTCCTCTAGCAAGATAAAACAAACATTGGAAACATAAACAAAGATTATACTGAATTACTGTATACGTCATTTGAATTTACTTGAATTCAAGAACTTTTACATTACAAATTTACTTATAATTCATTTGCATGTATCTATGTCATATAAATGACATATAAATGACATGTAAAATGAATTACATTATATTATCAAAGCTTATTCCTTAAGAGAGTTTCACATTTATTATTTCGTTAAAACGTACGAATAACTGTATTGTCATACGATCTTATCAATGTAATTTTCCGAAGTATCGATAATGAATTATAAAATATGGAATTCAATCCATTAAAATTTTTAACCTAGGATTTATTACAATTAGCATTATAATAATGAGTCAATGGGTTATTTCTCCTACTCGACATCACGCAGGATGACAGTTTGCCAAAATTATATACCTGCAACTAATTAGATGCTAATCGTAAGCATATTGATATCGGGTAAAATGGCTTGTAGAGAAATAACTTTCGAGAAATTGAGCAATAACGGAATAACGGGTTCAAAATAATATTACAAAAGTATATCCAGAAAATTATTTTAATATTAATAGTGGCAACGACAATACTAAAATGTTCAGGTTCTTGTTACCGAATATTTGATTTTGATTTCAATAAACTGTTTTTGTACGATTTTTGTACTTACTAATTTAATCGTAGTCATTAAAATATATGAGAAAAGGGAAATTTTTCGTTTACGATAAATACGTTACAGTATAATAAATGTATAACGATCAAAAATAAAATTTGTTACATAACGGTAACTATAAGCATGTACTGTACGTACGTAATAACGTCATTAATCTTTATTTCAGAGTTCAAATTTTATTTTATTGGATAAATCACCTAACCAATTTTTACAAAAATCAGCCAATAATAATAAATGGTATCTATAAAACACTTGATCTCAGTTTAATCAATGAAACTTTGTATCACTATATTTTTTTATTATAAAGGTTGCTGAAACCCTTGAAGCAATCAGATATTTATCCTCATTAATATTCCTATATGATGAAAACGTTATTCATGAAACTCATAAGTTAGTTTTCACTAAAATAAATTATAAAAATGAAAATAACAGAAATTTCTAAATTACTTCTTGAAACATAAATGCTTTGACACGAATTCAAATGATAGCGCACTGGTTTTATCTCTGCAATGCAGAAATACCCTTAAACTCGATTGATTATACTTTGTCGGATAATTTTCCAAATTCATTCATTCAGCTCACTTCAGCAACGTAAATTTTCATCAATTTTACCCGAAGGCTCTATAGACATTTTTTTTAACAATTTAGACTTTTGGCTCATATTGATGTGATGAGGCAAAAACTAGGTCATTTTCCATATAAAAGACATGCTATTTTATACATGCCATTTTATGTAGAAAGTTCTAGATTTGAAAATAAATATTCTATTTTCACCTATGTAGCATAAAATTCGCAACCGATTTTGTATT